ACCATTTTTCACTCCCATCAGCAACATATGAATGATCTAATTTTCTTAAATTCTCACCAACATTTGATGTTGTCACTATTTTTTTTTTTAGCCAGTCTGATAGGAGCTTACATCTTACTGTGATTTCAATATGCATTTTCTTGATGTCTAATGATGTTAAGCATCATTTCATTTGCTTATTTGTCATCTGTATATTCTCTTTGGTGAAATGTTTTTGTGTCTTTTGCCCAAATTCTAACTGGATTGTTTTTGTTGTTTTGTTTTACTGTTGAAATGTGAATATTCTTTATATATTCTAGATACTAGTCCTTTGTTGAATACATAGTTTGCAAATATTTCCTCATTGTCTGCCAGTCGTTTTTCATTCTCTTAGCAGAATCTTTCATAAAACAAAAGTTTTAAATTTGGATGAAGTCCAGTTTATCAAACTTTCCTTTTGTGAATTGTGTTTTTGGTGTCTGGTCTTAAGAATTCTTTGTCCAGGTCTATATTTTGAAGGTTTTCTCCTATATTCTTCTAAAAATTTTACAATTTTACATTTAAGTCAGTGACCCATTTTTAATTAACTTGTATAAAGTATAAAATTTGAGTTGAGGTTTATTTTTTGTTGGTTTGTTTGTTCTTTGTTTATTAAAGTCCAATTGCTCTAAAATCTTTTGTCAAGAAAACTAACTTTCTTCCATTAAATTGTTTTGCACCTTTGTCAAAATAAGCCAGGAATATTTGTATGGGTTTGTTTCTGGGTTCTCTCCTGTTCCAATACTCTATGTCTATCCCTCCACCAATACCACACTCCCTTGATTCCTGGGGCTATATAATGTCCTGAAATAGGGTAGACAGATTCTTTACACTTTATTCTTCTTTGTCAAAACTGCTTTAGCTATGCTAAGACCCATGCCTTAAAAATAAATTTTAAAACGAGCTTGTTTATGCCTACAAAAACCTTGCTGAAATCTAATATTTTTAAATACTATGACTCCCACTCTGAATTTTTTTCTGAAAATATTATCTGTTTGGTTTTGTTCAAGTTTCATTTTTTCCAAATGTTACCATGCATGCATTCATTCATTCACTGGAACAATCATGTTAAGCACCTACTATGTGCTGAGACTTGGGCAGGTCATTTGAGATGCAAACATGAAAATGCATACTCACTTTCCTCAAGAAATGCAAGGTTTTGAGCTGATTGCTAACTCAGAAATTTATTTTTAAAGCTAAATGTTTTTTAAGTGTTCATATCTATTGGACCTTAAAATTTAACATCCAAAATACATGGTGCTTTATACAGGAAAGCCAGAGTGCTTGGGGAAAGATCTAATGTGCCTGGATTATGTGTGATCCATGTTGCTCAGGTGCAGAGATATCTCCAAAGAAGAAGCAGGGCTGAAATGTGAGCAAGTGCCCTGATTGTTTTTTGTTTCTCTCCCTCAACATGCTGCTGTGCCTTTTACAAGTAAAGGCAGGTAACCAAGAGCAAGCCATTCATTCATTCATTCATTCACTTAGTCAGTATTTTTCTAGAGCCCAGGACTTGCCAGGCTTAGAGTCAGGAGTAGGACAGAGATCAGAAAACCACCACAGACTAACACTAGCAGCTCTGGGCTCCAAGGACAAGGGGTGAATGAGAACCATGGAGAAGGGGCTGATGGTGGGAAGCAACCTGCAAAGGTTAAGAGTGGGAAAAAAGTGTGGCTGCAGTTGGAAGGGCACGTGCACCAGGGTACCCTGAGCAGAAAGTAGCACACAGCCACCCCACCAGCTGCTGGCAGAAGCAAGCTCCATAGGCTTTTGGCTATATAGGAATTTTTGAAAGCTTGGTGGTTCCAAGGAAACAGTGCCCTTCTTTCAGCCAGGCTCTGAACAGGTTGAGGAACAGAATGACACATGGAGACCATGTAATCATGTAATGAGGCCTGGCCACAGGACTGGGCCTCAAAGCCTCTTCCTCTGTGCAAGGTCTCTAAGCAGATTTGTATTTGAAGATCCAGATTTCTCAGGCTGCAGTGGGGAGAATGAAGACAGGGAGTGAAGTGGTTTTAGAAAGACCTAAGGGGCCAAAAAGGCATGGCCTTTTATGCTGAGAGAGAGGAAGTGAGAGCCAGAGGGCCTGCCACCAGCCTAGACTCCTCCTTTCTCCCCCCTGCTGCTGCCACCTTTTCTCTCTTTCCCTTTCCAGGCTGTGTTCTGCCCCTCTCCTCGGCCTTTTATTTCTGTCTCCTCACAGCCACTCTCTCTGATTTCGATTTTAATTTGTAAAATGTGTTCACTGTGATATAAAAAGAAGGTGCAGAATTCCACACTGAATAAAGGTGTGTCACCCCTTGACAGAGATGTTCAGGCGGCCCATTGGAAGCCAGGCTGCATCCAGGCCTGCTCTTCACTTCCAGAGGGGCCTCGGTGTGCCGTCCATAACAGAGCCAGTGGCCAGCGGCCCGCACCTTGCCTGGGAAACTGCCTTTCCTGTCTGCTTTGGATAAACGGCTCAGGACATGCACACAAGTGACTATCAGCTTAAAGGTCTAGACTGCAGATCCAGGACACTGTTTATGTTTTTTGAAGGATGGTATAATAGAGAGAGGAAGAGAGAAAGGAATAAAGAGATGAAGAATGTAAACTTTTATGAATTTTTTTAAAAAGAAAGTACTTATACTTGTGTCCTAGGACACACCTTTTAAACAACAGCACTTATTTTTTAATATTCAAGACATAAAATATTTCATACCATAAAACTATGCAGAAAAGCATAATCCCAGGTAACCATCATTCAAAGTTAATAATTATTACCATTTTTTCTCATTTATTTCAGATATATTTCTCGGCAATAAAATATTGCTAATACAGCTGACCCCACTCTTCCCGCACCACTTGGCCAGGGCTCTTAGAGTGCTGAACAGGGAAGAGCGTCCTTCTACATCTTACCACCATCTCTTCATCCTTCTTTTTAATTATTACTTTTCCCACCCAACTTTATACTCTCAGGACTTATTCATATTGATACAAGTGGAGCTGTTTCCTTCATTTTCAGCCCAAGGGCACATCCTGTTCCATGAATCTGCCCCATTCTTTGCCCAGGGCTCTCCTGATTACCATCCGGGAGGTGTCCAGGCTTGCACTTTACAAACAATGTTGCACGCGCTGTGCCTGGCATTTTCTCTGTGGTGGAAAATGAGCCCAGGAGTTGCAGGGTGACAGGATGTGGGCATCTCCTGCTCTTTCATTTGTTGCCACATCTTCCTAACTTCTTTAGGGTCATTGAAACTTGCACAGCAGTGCAAGAGACCTGCCTGGCTCTGCACACCAGGGCCTGGTTGGTGTCATCCAGGGGGTGTAAAGTGGCACCTTGTATACTGTCCGCACATTTTCCCATCACTAGTGAGGGTGCACAGCTTTGCTACATGGTGTTTTAGTTCTCATTGCAGAGGGTCTGTGCCTGTCCCTGACCCGTTTTCCAAGGGATGTCTTGTCTTCAAGCACTGTCAGAATTCTTTATGATTAGCAGAGCAGCCTTTGTCACTTACAAGTGCTGTATATTATCTTCTCTCAGGGTCAGTGTCTGAAATTTATTTTCTGTTAAACCTACGTGTTTACTTTTAATACACTCACATTTGTCAAAGTTTTTCTTTCTGCCTTTCTCTAGTTTTGAAAAAGGAAAAAATAACAACACACCTTCCCTTTCCTTACCTACGCAATCCCTTGTGCATCAGAAGGTGCCAGAGTGTGCAGGAAGGGCAGGACGGCAAGTGCGAGTGTCCACAGTGCTGCAGAATTGGTGATCTGAGGGACACAAACCAACTTAATGTTAGCCAAAGAATGTGAAACATGGACCCAGACAAACGCTCTGGAGAACCTCGCTTGTTATATAAAAGTAATTTTCAAAGGACTAGCGGAAATCTTCTTTCTCCAATGTTTTCTTGCGAGCGAGGAGTCCTAATTGTTCCCTCCGGGTCAGAGCGGCCTCCTGCGGTCTCTGCGCCCTCCTGGGCTCTCACACCCGAAAATGCCGTGGCCACCTCGGAGGTGCGCTCTGGTGTTTAAAACAGTGAGCACAGAGCGATGGAGCAGCTGCCAGCAGGGCGAGAGATGGGGTGAGCTAAGTTCTTCCGAAGACTGTCTTGCAGAAACATGAAAAAAAAAAAAAAAAACCCAAAAAACCAACAACTGACAACTCTTCATCTGTTTCCACTCGTCCGGAATAGCTGCAACGGCGGCGCAGACCTCTCTGGGAAGCATGCGCGCGCGCCTGTGTCTGCGTCGCTCAGTTTGAGGGTCGCTATGTTAAGAGTGGGAGGGTGTAAAGGTGAAAAGGCTGAGCGCTGCCAACTTTTCTCCTTCCAAACAACCACGGATGAAGAACAGGGCACTCGGGTCTTCGCTGTTGTGGAAACGGGTCTGCTGTGACTCCGATCTCTTGAAAGAATTCTGGCCTGCCCAGTCTCCGGCCATTCCCTCTTTCTTCTTTCCCTGCGCTCCCCTGCTCCTCACCGCGCCCCCTCCCAATTCAGAGCGGCCGAAATCGGCGAGGCAAACGCGGACGGGAAGCCCTGGGCCAGAGCGCGCGGGGCCTGCGCGGAGAGGGGAAGTCGGCCAAGGGGCAACGAGAAGAGGGACGGGAGGAAAAGGGCAGAGAAGCAAGAGGACAGAGTCCTCGAGATGCCGAGAAAAGGAGAGACGAGGATTCTCCGGGCATAGCGGGGAGAGAACCTTCAGGAAGCACGTTGGACGCGGGTCATTGGTGGGGAGGGTGGGAGTTGTGCTGCCCACTTAAGGAAATCGGGAGGGACTAGTAAGCAAGGAAGAGACCTCGCCGTAATTACGAGCTAGAGTCAGTTAAGTGGGGAGGAGCCCAGGAAGTGAGAACTCTGGTTTTAGGATGTAAAGAAGGAGCGCACCCGCCGTCCGGGGACCTCCCCAGTCTCTGGGTCCCCTCGGAGCGGCCCCCGGCGCTCCCGGAACAGCCCGGGCCTTCGGGCCCGTAGAAGAACTCCGAGCTGCACTCCCGCTCAGCGTTTCAGGACAGGAACGGTGGGGGACCCTTCCACTTGTGCAGTGTCCCCTCTGCGCGTGTTTTCCAGGCGCACGTCGTAGCATCTGAAGCGAGTTGGGTACTCTGGACACACCGCTGCATTGGAAAGCCTACAAAACATACTCAACAAATGCCGAGAGGGCGGACCAACAACACGCTTGAAAGATATTTTTCATTTTGATTTAAATTTTGTTAAATTTATAACGACGTATTTCTGTTTTAGAGAGAGAAAAGTAGAGAAAGAAAAGTAAGGAAAAGAAAAAAAAATAAAGATTGCAGTGCTACACTTCTCATTCTCCTTGCCTTTTTCTTTCTTGCTGTCACTCTCTCTACCAATAGGAGGTCCTGGGACAGGAGGGACCTTCTTTAGGAACGCCATAGGAATATGCTTTGATATGCTGAAACTTCTTACACGTTAAGTGTTCTCCATGAAGGAGAACCATGTAAAGTCTATATATTAATCTTAATTGACAAAATAAAAAATTACACACCCCAACATATTCACCAAAATCTTACAAAGTCCAGCGGAACCCGGGGTAATAAGACAATGAGGAAAAAGGTCGTGTGCGGAGTAGGTTTATTGCAATGCTTGATAAAATTGTTCTTCCCCGAATTAAAACTACAAGGGAAGAGGTAGGTCGCGCCAGGGCAGGAGCGCCCGCCACCCGTCGGTGGCTGGGGACGTCGCTGGGGCCACCGTTGCAGGGATGAGGCCGCAGTGGCGGGCCACAGCGCCCCCTCGCCGCCCGCAAGCACGACTTCGGGCCCGCGCCTATCCGGCCTCTCCGCGGCTGGAGGAGCCAGATCTTGCCGCGTCTGCAGAGCGCCTGGGCCCGCGGCTGCCGCTCTCCGGGAGAGCCCTGGAGCTCTGGAGCCCTGGCCGCGATTCTGGCGTTTCTCAGGGCTTGGCCTCGCGGGGAACCCGGCTCCTTGAAATATGCACGTCTACGCCACTGTGTTCTAGGTGCAGCGGCCACTGTGGGGACAAGAAACAAAAATGTGACCCTGTTACACACCTTTTTAAAAAATGCACACACAGGGGACGGAAGGGCTCTACTGTCAATCTGGAAGTGCACACGGTCCCCGCAATTGCTCGCACCGTCGACGCAGTTCCTGGGTTTCCCTCGTGTGCCTGCCCTTTCTATCCACCAGTACAGCTCGGATGGTAACTGGAAAGAAGCAGAAGCCAAGAGCCAGACGCTCCCCGGCTCTCTGCCCGCCCGAATGCCCCTCTGCGCCCGTAAGCAATGCGTCCAGGTCCCTGCTCCCCGGGAGCGGCTCTCCCCGCAGTGGCCGGACACGCAGTGCGAAGAAGCCCAGGCCACCCTCGCAGTCGGCCACGCACGGAGCCACTGCGTTTGGCCTCGACCCTTGCAGCGTGTCTTTTCGATTGATTTTTCAAAAAGAAGGCCAAGCCAACTTTAATCTAAGAAAAGGAAAAGTGATTTTACAAAATCAGGGAGCTTTAAATCGAAACGGAGTTATATATTCCAGTAACAATGCAGACCGTGAGTTTTAATGTCTCTGCGTAGGCATTTTAATTTGCTACAGTCACTACCAATAAAAACGGCATGTAGTGCGATTCGACTGTTTAATAGTGCAAGGTAGACGGTTTTTATTAGTAGCAGGCAGCAGTATGGAAAATTTAGATTTCAGTGGAGGAGTGTAATTGCTGGGGGGAAAATACACTCAGGAAGAGGCTGTCTTTAGAATCAGCAGCACCGAGCAGAGAGGGAGCAGGCAGTGTTTCTGGATACGCACCCTGGGCAAGCGGGAGACCCTCCAAAGCCACGTGCACTTGTCTGGTTAGATACTTAATTGATGTCAAAATCGAGTGTATTCCGAGCATACATTCTTGCTCCAAACTGGGGATGTTTTTGTAATAATTCGCTGTTTTCTTTTCTGCCCCTGGCAGAGATCAGTAGGGGAAGAGGGAGGGAGGGTGAGGGGCTGAGCCCCAAATGCTAATGAAACCACAGCAGGAACTGGTCTTTAGAAATGGAAATTCTTGAGGCCATTCCTTCTTGGAGATAAAAAAATTAGACCTGATATTTTTCACTTAAACTATTTAAATGGAAGAGAACCAAAAGGCTGCAATCTGATCTGTTGCTGCCTCTGCTTGTCATCCAAGTGTGCACGACTCATTTACAGCTTCTTCCCGGCCAAATTCCCTCCAGAAAGACCAAAAATGTCATAGATCCTGTCACTGGCGAGCTCCACAGGGCGGCTGGGCCCTTTATCCTCTCTTTCTTTTTCCTTTTTCTTTCTACAGTCATTGATTTAAAATATCGGCCCTGCACGGAATTCGGACGTCCCACTTGGGGTGGAAGCATTGTTGGACCGCCTCTGCCGGGTTCTTGCAGAGGCCCGAAGTGCGTGGGAAGTGCTGTGTGCGGAGGGGAGTGGTGGTGGGGAGTGCTGTGCCGGGGGGCCAAGTGAAGATTGATGGATAGAGGGGGCAGGGCTGAGGTCTGTAGGAACAGCGGTGGGGGGAGGAATGGGGGACGGAGTGTGAGGGCTGGTGAAGGGCGTCCGGGTTGGTGGCTAGCAGAGAAAGGCGGCGAGTGTAACTGCCTGGACCGCACCTACCAGAAGTGACATGCCTGCAGGCCAAGGAGTACAATTTGCAACTGATCCCCTTGGATATGGGCACGATCAAACTCAGCCTGTGTCTTGAAGGTTCTCCGTGAGCCCACGCTGATGCAGGGGCTCGCGATCCTGCCTTGCAGCCTTACCCAGCGACCCGACGGATACTCGATAAACGGAGGCCGTTACAAGAGTTGCAGAGCCAACAGGACTGGGGAACAGGGGGTGGGTGAGAGGGCGGAAGAGGTGTGAGGGAAGGAGAGCTGAAGGCCGGGGCTCCCATCTAAGGTGTTCTCCCCTTAGAGGTCACCCCCTCCCCGAGATGGCCTTCGAGAAAGAGGCACCTGTTGGGTGGGCGCCCCCACTCACACCGGCACACACCAGACTCCTTGTGAAGCGAGAGTTCCCCTTCGGTGATTCCCGGTCTCCTCTTCCTTGGACCCCCGGTGTGAGAGGGGTGCAGCAGGAATGAGGTTCGGGAGATTTTCGGGGTTCCATAGCCAAGCATCTGTCCCTAGGCCCCGCGAAGTACCTCCCGAGACGCGTTACCTGAGCTACCTGCGCTGCCGACTGCTCCCGAGCCACGAATTCTTAGCTTCACGTCGTGCCAGAGCGGTCTGTCTGTCCAGTGGCAGTCATTCCCCTGAGGGTTTTAGAACACAAATCCGAAAGAGAACTCAAGTTTTTAAAACAAAACCCTTTTGGAGGTGAAGCTCTGGCAACGTGTTTTAAAACATTCCCAACATCGGAAAGTGCTAACACCCATGGACCCTGGTCTCCATCATGGACTTTGGGGCAGAAGGCTCACCTCAGGGCTCTCCTGGCAGTTCGCAGCGAAGGAGCCCCGGATCCGGGTCCCGCGGGTGCACGCTGCGCAGCGCGGGGCAGGCGAACAGACGCGAGGCCAAGCGGGGCGCCTCCCACTGTGAAGCAGAGTAGACCCAGGAAGGTGGAAGTAAGTGCCGCGTACGCCACCCCCAGGATGATTCGGGCTGCCTGTGCCTTCATTCCCCGCACCCCCACAATCATCCCGTAAGCTGTCGGCAGGCACACGGGGGTCCAGCACGCAGTCACCTGGGCAGGCCTGTTCCGGGTGAAGAGGGGGGCTCGGAACGTTCATCCACCAAGCCTACCAGCCTGGCCAGACTGCAGGAGGCCTCTTTCTAGTCCTCGCGTGCAGAGCTGGGGGGCGGGCCAGTGGCTGCATTGGGACGGGGTGGCGGGGGTGGGTGGGGGAGGTGAGAGGGTGACTAGGGCGGGAGTGGGGAACCCGGCTGGGAGTACAAGCGAGTGGGAGGGGGTGCGCGACGGGACACGCTGCTCTCGGCCCCTCCAGGTTGTGGGGCCGAGAGCCTCGGGGCCGGGGCTGCGCGAGAGGCGGCTGCGCCACAAAAGCCTGCGCGTCCCTCCCTCCCCTTTCCTCCCTCGCTGCAGCCCCCCTCAACTCGGCCTTCCCCTCTCCTCCCCTCCCGGCTCCGGACTCCTCCCCCAGCTGCGGCTGGGCAGCTGGATCGCGCGGAGCAGGCGGAGCCAGGGAGGGGGCGGGCGCCCGAATATGCAGATGAGCGCGTGACGGACAGCTCCGCGTTCCAATGTCCCTCGGAAACTCGAGCGCTCCTTCCTCAACTCCTCACTCCCGACTCCAGACTCCCCCAAACCCCGACCGCCGTCCTGGCGCGCGGCTGCGCCCACTGGCTCCACGCTGCCGCCGCCACTGCAGTCACTGCCGCCGTCCCACCGCTCCCCCGGCCCGCGGGCCGCCCGGGCTAGTGCGCGGGTCGGCCTGCCTCGGCCCGACACCTCCGCGCCCGCCGCCGCGCCGCGCCCCGGTCGGGCGTGGATGGAGGGCGCCGCGAGCCCTGCCAGCTGCTCGGTGTGACGCGGGCCCCGCGCCCACCATGTCCTACCCGCAGGGCTACCTGTACCAGGCGCCCGGCTCGCTGGCGCTTTACTCGTGCCCAGCGTACGGCGCTTCGGCACTGGCGGCGCCGCGCAGCGAGGAGCTGGCCCGCTCCGCGTCGGGCTCCGCGTTTAGCCCTTACCCGGGCTCGGCGGCCTTCACGGCGCAGGCGGCCACTGGCTTCGGCAGCCCGCTGCAGTACTCGGCCGACGCCGCCGCCGCCGCCGCTGGCTTCCCTTCCTACATGGTAACCGCGCGGGCGGGCAGGGACGCGGGACACCCGGGCGTGGGCACCCTGATCGGGACGCAGACGAAGAGGGCCCGGGAATCCGCGAGCGGGGGGCGCGGGAAACGTGCCGTGGGCGGTGGCTCCCGAGTCGCCGACTCAGGCCGCCGCGCCGCTGGAGGGACCAGAGGCCGGGGTGAGAGGCAACACGGCCGGCCGGCGCTGTTCTTGAGCACGGGCCTGGACCCGCGCCGTTTCCCTTAGGCTCCCGGGGTAATTTTTCCCAAAGAGCCTGGAAAGTACACCTACGCTGGTATCGGGTTCTGTTGTGGGTTGTCCTTAGTTCAGGTACCGAAGCTTGGTGAGGAGTCCGGAGCGGGCTCGGGGCTCGCTTCTGTCTGCGCGCGGTGCGAGGTTCGGCGCCACTGGGACCTCCGGGACGTCTGCCTGGCGCTTAGCAGTTACTTGCGGGGCTTGGGCGGGGGGCGGGGTGGGGGGCTCGGTTACCGGCTTGGGGGAGGGAGCGAAGCATAAACCGGGGCTCCGGGGCCTGGCCCAGCCCGCCTCGGTCTGGTTCTTAATCTGTACCGCAGGCTGTGCTTTCGAAAAAAGTGTCGGCGGACATGTGGCCCGTCAGGTGCCCCTGGGCACCGAAAGCAGCTCCTGCTCCCCGGTCCTGGGGTCGGCCCACGCGCCTTGGGTCTGATGCTGGGTCCCACGATGGTGTCGGTGGAGCGCGTTTCGGGCGATTGAGGCCGTTTAAGGGGTTGCCGACACTGCCCGCCCTCGGTGGAATTCCAGGGCAGCGACTGAGTAGCTGGGGCTTTGGTGAAGGCTGCAAATGCCTCGAATTTAAACGTTAAAGGCTGAATTAAAATGCTAATTACCGCGTATTTGAAGAATTCGAAACGGTGACTGGCTTCTGAGTTGCAAATTGGATTTGCGGAGCTTTGGAGCAGTGAATAGCGGAGCGGGGGCTCGGGGTGGTTTTTTAACCATGTAAGGGCGGGGTAGGGGGAGTGTGCGTGTGTTGGTTGGGAGGGGGGAGGCCGCAGCACTTGCGAATCCAGAGAAATTTAGATATCAAGGAACTATCTTCGGGCCTCTGTGTGCCTGCGTGTTTGCGTGCGCCCGTACTCGCGGCCTAGGGATTTTACAGGAGAAGATATGCCATTTTAGGAAAGTGAAATAGTTCAAAAATTTGCGAATAAAGCTGCAGCACTTTCTGTGCGTGCGTGCGTGCGTGCGTGTGTGTGTGTGTGTGTGTGTGTGTGAGAGAGAGAGAGAGAGAGAGAGAGATCAACAGCTGGCCTTAATAACGCGCCGAGTTTTTTTCCCCCCTGCTCTGATGCTGCCAGAAGTGCGGCTCCACCGCGGGAGACTCGCCGTGGGAAAGGCGGTCGCGGACTGGCCGTGGGATCGCCTTCGGGCGGTTGCCTGCCAGGTACCCGCGCACCCCAATCACCAGGCTCTTGTCGGTTCTAGGGCACGCCCTACGACGCGCACACTACTGGGATGACGGGTGCCATCAGCTACCATCCATATGGCAGCGCGGCCTACCCCTACCAGCTCAATGATCCGGCATATCGCAAGAACGCCACGCGGGATGCCACGGCAACGCTCAAGGCCTGGCTCAACGAACACCGCAAGAACCCCTACCCCACCAAGGGTGAGAAGATCATGCTGGCCATCATCACCAAGATGACCCTTACGCAGGTCTCCACCTGGTTCGCCAATGCGCGCCGGCGCCTCAAGAAGGAGAACAAGATGACGTGGGCCCCGAGGAACAAAAGCGAGGACGAGGACGAGGAGGAGGGTGACGCGACAAGGAGCAAGGAGAGCCCAGATAAGGCACAGGAGGGCACCGAGACATCCGCGGAGGACGAAGGTGAGCGAGGTCTCGGCTGGCTCTAGGTTTCGGGGAGTTTTCTTCCTAGGCGGGGTGCAGAGCTGAGGGAGGGGAGGACACTCCAGGCCCGACAGCCCAGGTTCCAGCCTGGAGCCCCTGCCTCCTGGCAGGAGTGGGCCTAGAGATTCCTCAGGGTGCTTTCCCGGAAGGCTGTGCTCCCCCTAGGCGGTGGCAGGTTCTGGGTGGAGGTGAGGAATGTAATGGGCAGGGCCTGGTACACCTGAACATGGGGCAGAGGGGCCCCTGGTGCTTGCGCTGTTCCACGTGCCACAGACGGTGCCCGCGCCCCTGCAGGGATCAGCCTGCACGTCGACTCGCTCACTGATCACTCGTGCTCTGCCGAGTCGGACGGGGAGAAGCTGCCGTGCCGTGCCAGTGACCCCTTGTGCGAATCGGGTTCGGAGTGCAAGGATAAGTACGACGACCTGGAGGACGACGAAGACGATGAGGAGGAGGGAGAGCGGGACCTGGCGCCATCCAAGGCCGTGACCTCGTCACCGCTCACTGGCGTGGAGGCACCGTTGCTGAGCCCCCAGCCTGAGGCCGCGCCCCGCGGTGGCGGCGGCGGCAAGACGCCCCTGGGCAGCCGGACGTCCCCTGGCGCGCCTCAGCCCGCCAGCAAACCCAAGCTGTGGTCTCTGGCCGAGATCGCTACGTCGGACCTCAAGCAGCCTAGCATGGGTCCCGGCTGCGTGCCGCCTGGGCTGCCCACGGCCGCAGCTCCCGCCTCGTCCGGGGCTCCGCCGGGCGGCTCGCCCTATCCGGCGTCCCCGCTACTCGGCCGCCACCTCTACTACACGTCGCCCTTCTATGGCAACTACACAAACTACGGGAACTTGAACGCGGCGCTGCAGGGCCAGGGGCTCTTGCGATACAACGCAGCGGCCTCAGGCCCCGGAGAGGCGCTGCATTCGGCGCCCAAGGCGGGCAGCGACGCGGGCAAGGCAGGCGCGCATCCACTCGAGCCCCACTACCGGCCCCCGGGCAGCGGCTACGAGCCCAAGAAAGGTAGGCTGCTGCGGCTGCGGATTCTTTGGGAGGGACAGCCAGCGGGGCCCGGTTAGTCAGCACTCTCAAGAAACCCGGGGAAGGGTCCTGGAGATCTGACCCATGGATATGCAGGGGGAACATTTGTAACTTAAAGAAAAGTGAATGCATCACACTTTGACTAAAAGTTAGGAGAAGGGAAGGGAATGGTGACTCCAAAAAGAGAGGTGGGATGAGCCATTCGATCTTTGCCTTGCAATAAGTCCTACCTCGAGTGAGTGAGTGAGTGAGTGAGTGAGTGAGTTATTTTCATGGCCATCGTCATCAAGACAGTTTTAGTTTCGCAAAGACAAACTGCCACAAAATGCAAATTACAGCTTGTCTCCCCACTGACTGAGCTTCAGTTTCCTGTGTTTTGTTGTTAATAGAGTCTCTCCTTCTGCCTTTGACTGAAAGGAAACCAAACGTTCCAGTTATTCCCAGAGGCCTTAGTTCTTCAAAATAGAAAGCCAGAGCCTTTTTCCTTTCTCTCCCTTTCTCTATATTGCCTCTGTTGCTCGTAATTTGGGCTTGAGCTGGTAAGACCTGTAAAAGGAGCTCAAGGGGACAAAAAAATGAGAACTAAGAAATGCGACCAAAATATGTTTCAGGAGAGTGTGGTGGACAGTCAGGTTGCCCTAACTGGTTGCCCAATACAGGGAGCGTTCCTGGGTGTGCATTCCTGGGTGTGCGGGCTGGTGGCTGTGCTGCTGTCTGGGAGACAGATGGCTGTGGGGTTGGTTCTGACTAACTGCCCCCTCCTCTGACAGATGCCAGTGAGGGCTGCACCGTGGTTGGTGGGGGCGTCCAGCCCTACCTATAGAAGGGCCGAGCACAGCAATGCAAGTAAGTGGGCACCTTGGTGTTTCCGCCCACCCTGGGGGAGCCTCCCTGCACCAATTACTCTTTAAACTTGCTTAATGTCTATTTCTTGCTTCTCGTCATGGGATCTGAGGACAGCATTGCAATCTTCTTGGTCTTCTCCCCTTTAAGTGGGAGAGGATTTGTTCTTTTATAGAGTCTTTTTTTTTTTTTTTTGCTCAAGTTCTGCTTTGAAGAATTACTTCTTTAATGGGAATAGAATGAGTGTGTGAGTGTGTGTGTAAAATATGTGTGTGTACACACACACTCACACACACACACACACACACACACTGTTTTCTCAACCTGGGAATTTGTGTGCAATACGGAGTGTCTTTACTCTGCTAGTCACAGAATAGACACTTGCTTTGATGAGCTAGTGTTACTGAAACTTGGTATCAGAAGCCTTTCTAGAGGATGTTTGCAGAGTAAGACTGATAGACAAGAAGCGCTCATCTTTTAGTAGGCCCACCCCCCGTGACCAGATGGACTAGACAGGACCCTGCAGATCATCTGGCTCACAGTAGTATTAAAAAAAAAAATAGCTATTTTTACAAATAGGCAATATTACTTATTACACATGTTGAAGGTGGGAAAGAGGCTGAACCCTTTCAGATGAATCCTTTTTGTAATGTGATAATGTTGGTGTGGAACTGAAGGATTTGGGATGATTTGGTTTTTTCCTTGGTCCACAGGTAGGTGTCACAATTGCTTTGGAAAAAAAAAAAGTCAGCAGGCCATTCTCTCTTCCCAAGTTAATAAATACACAGATATAAAAAGCCGCTCTCTCACCGGGACCGCATCTTGTGCCACTGTAAAAGAAGGAGCCACAGAGCACTGTCAACCCAGACTAATGGAGCAGACTTTTGTTGGATATACGTGAATTTGTTGGCATAGTATAGCTTCCCCAATGTATGTGTGACTTTTGAAAACAATCTTTTTTCTCAGGATATCTTGAATTGATCACTTCATTGCCAC